AAGACTGGCCAGAAATATGGAAGAGAACTAAAAAAAGATGAAAGAAAACATTGATAAAGAACTAGATGTTGAAGAAAGAGGAAGAGGAGGAAATTTAGGTAGAGGCGTTCCCAACCATTTTTTTTATTTGTGGCATCGGCCACTTTTACATGTAAAAATTTTCCACTGCCCACCTGTATCGTAAATATTCAAAAACATCAAAATTGTTTGGTAAATGTTTGTTACTGGTTCATAAACTGACTTTATGATATAGTATAAAGTACCAAAGGGAGGTAAAAATAACATTGACTTATGCAGATGCTATTACTGTATTAAAAAACAAACAAAAGCAAACTTGACCATTAAAGCTATCTCTCTCTCTCTCTCTCTATATATATATATATATATATATATATATATATATATATATATATATGAAGAAATATAGTTTTAAGGCGTGCTATATTTATGGGATAAAGTGCTCTATATCTGAGATAGAGGGTATGGAAATATATGTTTCATGTTTCATGCTAGGCCCAATTGCGTCTAGCATAAAACAGACTGTCGCCTCTGAGTGTTAACTTTAATGATCCCGCATATATATATATATATATATATATATATATATATATATATATATAATTATTTATTTAAAAATAAGATTCCAAAACGTGCGTTTTGGAATCATATTTTAAATAAATAATTATATTTATGCTCTACTTTTTGTATCGAGCACTATTTTTTAAAAAATAATAACTAAAATACTAAGGGACTTTGGATTATTTACCTAACCAGTTCCTTCCTATTTTCTATATATTTTCACACACACACACACACACACACACACACACACACATATATATATATATATATATATATATATATATATATATATATATATATATATATATATGAGTGTAAGATGTACGTTGTGGGTGATTACTCTACAGCAAAAAATCATTATAACAATCTGAAAATATTTTCAAATATTTGAAAAGTAAATAGGGAGAGAAAAATGAAAAAAAACAAACTTCACTCTAGTCTTGCTAAACGAACATAAATATCAAATCAAAAAGGAGTTCCTTCTTTATCCCCTAACATTTGACACACGCGCACCCTTCACATTCTCCGTCAGACGTGAGATGGTTGGATTAAAGCAAGAATTGTTGCTGCCTTTAAATGTTTTTTATCAAATCTGCCACGTATCAACATTCCACAGCCAGAGGATTTTAGATATCTTGATATGTATTATTATCGTTTTTTTTTAATGCCCTGTCACTTCATGACGTAGGCGATCATGGCTGTCAACAAATTCCTTTTCTTTATTATCTATGAATTGCCACGACTTCGAATAAAAAATAGTGGATTGGTCTCTCGTTGCCTTCCCCACGAATTCTCGTAAGTTGGCTTTCATCTAGAGCTATACAATTCTCGGCATTATTATTTAACCCATATATAGGGGAGAAGAGGTTTGATTCAAGAAAACACAACAGAAGGAATTTTTTTCTCGAATTACCGATTCAACTTTCCTAGTTGGTAACCGCTACGATAACCGCACATATTTAAATTCAATCGTCTTTTGAACAGGAGTAGAGGTTTATCCCTTGCTCTCTCTTTAGGATTGGATTTCCGGTTAGCTTCCTAGGTTTTTTCATTCTCTTTCACCGCCAAAAGCTCGTTGCGTGTTAGTGGCATTAACGCCTTTCTTACTGTACTGTACTGATGCGGCATTCACCCTGGGCGGATTGAGCCGGCTTCTTCCTGTTATGAGAAGAAGACTCTTGGGATAAATTACAGAAGTAGGGTACCCAGGCCTACTCGGATAACGTTCTTGCTTGCCGCGGGGTTCCCACAGACGCAGAGTCTGGAACGACCAGAAGCCGCCGGTTGCCGATGCAGACGCTCCTTGGATTTTCACCAGAGCCCTTGTTAGCCGGCGTGTGTGTCAGACCTGTCCGCCTTGGGTGGCACTACCAGGAACGAAGTTCCGGACGGCATAGCTCTGACACTACCGTTTACACCCCCCACAGACTGTGAGGTAAGGGTTGAACTTTAACGCCTTTCTTGATGTGAATTGATTAAAAATAAAGCTTACTTTGGTATGAGTAATGGCAATATTAGCTCTTTCCTTATAAGGAAATATTCGGAATTCATTGACCGAGCAGCCAGTACTGCTAGTAGTTGAAATTTATAATCTCTTACTCTTAAAACAGTCTTCCAGAAAATAGGTTTCTCAAGTCTTTTATCGATCTTTCCAGTATTGATGGGAGTTTACTTCCTAACATTAAATTGTAGTCATGTGCGAAGGCTGCTTCTTTATTCTTCGAGTCACGTGTGATATTCGTTTTGTCTGTTATTGTTGTTGAAAGTACTCAAGCGATGTGGTATCTGTTATTTGCTACAATCCTTTCTTGATGATTCCACGAGTTTTGAAGAATTTCCCCAAGGCCCACAGGCTTTACTCCCTCAAAGCTATTTTTAACCATTATTGAACATACCGTAAGTCGCTACAAGTGGCAAGAATTATAATTATTTTTTAAAAAAATATGATTCCTTCGCTACATAAGAGTTCTCGTGTTTCAAAAACGAGAGCCGAAACCATCAATATAATTATTAAGATTAAATTGAATTAAAGTAACAAGCCCTCTTTCATCCTCAAGCGAAACTTTAGCAATAACCAATTTTGAAATTTACGTATCGTTATAAGCATGTTCATTCGTTACTATGGAAACGGCTGGGGCGACCATTTTTGATAAGGGAAGAACCCTGGATTATTTACCTAACGTTTTCTTTCCTATTTTTCTATATACCTGCACACACACACACACACACACACACACACACACACACACACACACACACACACAACACACACACACACACACACACACACACAAACACACACACACATATATATATATATATTCTCGAGTTCTCTCAGTCAATGGTGAGTTTATTCAAAAATAAATACCCATAAATTTATCTTCATCCCTTAGGGATAGATTCTTCGACTGACGCCAATTCAGCCGGGTTTCGATCCTAGCTAGAGGGAACTGGACGTCTAGCCACAATGACGAGCTGTCATACAGAAAAAGTCTGTGTTATCATCATAACCAAACATGGCGGATAGTAGGTATTGGGGATTGGTAGTACATTTGGAATTAACTGGTTCGTTTGAATAGTACACAGTGTGTAGTAAAAAGGCTGATATTCTTGTATATATGAAACATAACTCACCCGGAATTACGTGGCTGGGGTTTCGGTTTGTCAAGATACCGTACGGTATGTCTAGATGAACAAAAGACTTAAAATACCGCTAGAAAGCTGCCTTAGCACAAGAGAAAAATGACATGATATTGCCCAACGGGATATACGGTATTTATTACATATGAATGATAATCGTAGGCTTATGTGTGGCGTTCGTGATTGCTTGTGTCTCGTGACTGGGGTTTCGTGAGAGTTGGTAATCTCTTTTTTTACAATTTGACCTTTTCATTGCTAAAACGCAATGTGATTTTTGAGGGTATAATTTCAGGAAAAAATGCGTCTTAGCATACGGGAAATACAGTAGGCAACCCCCCCTAAAAAAAAAACAAAAAAACTTTAACATTTTAATTTGAAAATATATATGACAGTAATATCATTGTACTTATAGGTACAATGAAATTACTATCATTTCCACAACGCGGTCATCATCCCCATCATCAGGAGCGAGTGACGGCTCAGTATTCTAAAAAGTCAACCCGTTCTGATTTCGAGAGTTGGTCGAGGCCATGAACGGCCCCGGAACCTCCAATCATTCGATCTACAGGATGGAATTACAACGATCGAACGCCAACCATCTTGAGCTGGTTCCCTTCGGAGGGAACCAGTTACTAGACAGCTGGATTTGTCTTTCGACCCTACACCTGGTACCGACGATCGATTTGCACATCAGAGGCGCTTCGGACTTCCACCAGAGTTTATCTGGCTTCATTCCGACCGGGCGTGAAGTTGGCTCAGTCGTACTCGGAGAAAAATTTACCGACCAAGGGGGTGATGAACCCGCGCACCTAAACTCGACAACCTAAATCACAACTAGTTCAAGCCGTGGGATCTCACCGAAATGGTCATGTGTTCGGGTCCCATCTTCGACGCCACTATTGTAATATCGTCTTTGTTCAAAATAGCCAAGAATTACGAAGGCCGTAGTATTAAAGGGTATCGAAGAAACAGAAGACTAGGTAGGGAAAGCAAATAAGAAGAAGTTTATTCTCCAACAGTGCCCTACAGATCTTGTTATTCTCTTCTAGATGTCTTGGGAGATGGTAATGGTGAAAAATAGCTGTTTCTGATCAACCATTTTAATGGCTTTTGACATATATTTGATGGAACTTTGTTGATTAAGGCACAGCAATTTTGCACGGTAAGCTAGTATAATAATAATAATAATAATAATAATAAATAATAATAATAATATGTCAGTATCTTTCTGTTTTCTCAATCTCTTTCCCATACTAGAGGCTGTAATCTTGGATGTGCGGGTGGTGCAATGACTAAAAGCTCGAGATTGCAAATCGGAGAGCCGAGTTTCAATTCCAGTCGGGTTCGTTATATTCGTAAGCGCAAGTACTCTTGGGAAAGGTATGAATCCGCCACCTTACCCCCAGCTATGGTTTAATTAGTAAGACTTGTATCACTAAACCATTATTATATCTAAATATTAAAAAAATATTTAGATTTCGGCATTAAATAACTCATAGTGGTATTGATATGCCGCTAAACAAAAACAAACAAAACAACCAACAGACTTCCAAAAGCTTAGCAAAAGATTATGAAACCAACAAATTTTGTTACAAACAAAGAAAATGGTACTAAAGTATTACCTCAAGAGATTTTAAGTAACAGGAATACGATTTTACAGAAGGATGCTAAGAATACTATGGACCGAAGCTGTGAGCAATGAGGAAATTTTAGAAAAAATGGCAACAAAAAGGACACAAAGTTAAGCAAAAGCTAAGCAAAGTATTAAGAAAAAGACA